CGGTATACCAGTTGGCGAGGTGGTACTGTGCGGCCAAGATGATGAAGGGGGGGATGGCCCAGCCAAGGGCATTGACACCCTGTATTACCGTTGCCCACTCGCGGTTGCCAGGCTGGGCTAGCTTTGCCTTGCCACGGCCATCCGAGGTCGTAACTACCATACCTGTGCAGATGATGCCCATCATGAACCCGGTCTCGTCGAAGTTGTAGATATCGTCATCTACAATACCGTACTTGGCCTTGGTATTCTGTACAAGGGCAAACCACTCGCTAACGACCTTCGGATCCTCACACTTAGCCCTCTGGTAGTCGTATCGACGCGACCAACGCGTACAGAGGGCTGGCTGGCGTTTGACGAAGTTATAGGCCCAGAGCATACCAACACGGGGCTTGTTGCGTACACGTAGTAGTTGGTTGGCCATATCTTCCACACCAGCAAGTCTTGGTGGAAATACTCGTTCAGATAGCTCAATTATATACTTAACAATAGCCTTCTCTTCGGAATCGGTGAGTCGGCGTGAGTTAGGCGTAGTATCGCGTCGTGCAGGCTTGCCGTTGCGCCGTTGTGTAAGAGTCGTACGGCTGACGTTGTAGATCCTCGCTGCCTTTCGTAGGCTTAGATTTTCGTCATTTTCAAGAGCCTCGAGGGCCAACAATACGTTGGCTTCATTTGAAGTACCAGCCATTTTAGGTTGTAGAGAAAATTGATGTTAAGTGTTGAAGTGGCGCGTCGCGTGGAAGAGTGGCCCGTTCGCTTATATGGCCCGCTCGCTTATAATGCACGTTATCGGGATATTGCCTGAAGGGCCATTAACTCGTGGGTAGCTCACTTGGGTTGCGCCATCCCGGTTTCCTTCACTCAAAGCAAGGAAAGCACACAGCTGGAATGTGTTTTGCAAAGAGATCACTCGGTCGCGACTTGCGAGGATAATCCGTCAGTAGGTGAGCTTCTGAGGTTGAAGAGACAACTTTCCGTGGCCGATATATGTTAAGGGGCAGAGGGCATGAACATCAAGACAGTTGTGCTAGGGGCTCAGTGGCTTCATTTAAGAGAGTGACCCTGAGCCTGTACTTAGGCGTGATACATCGAGGACATCCATCATCAAACTGCTTTTGGGCTGTTTTCGGGACATGGCCCAAGGGGAACGGCAGTGCTGATTCTCGATGCTGGTGGTCGGCTTGGGGGCGATAGGCAGCCGGGCATCTGCCTGCCCTTAGCTTGGATCAGGCTTAACATATTTCTTTTTTGTGTTGCTTCACCGTTGGGGAGAGTTGTTGGGTGCGAAAGCCACGGTCTTGTGTCTCAGGCAACAAGCGTGAATGGCGATCTCTTTCAGGCATCGTTGCTGCTGGCCATGCACTTGTCTTGCTTGTCACGCGCGAACCATCAGGAACAGGTTCCCCTGTGGTGACGGGGTTTGTTCGCTGCAAAGTTTGGCACAATATAAAATGGTCCTCCATTGCTGCAGCAATTGACATTTGTATTTTGCGTCAGAATTTCCCTCTTCCAACCCATGTGCCATGGAGGACACGGAAGAAATTGACGGTGGACGATACAACGAAAGCGACAGCGGCAGCTCTGCCGTCAACGGTACCCCATACACCGAAGGTGTCGTGCTCCGCATCCGGCGTCATATCCCACCGGCACCGTTTAACGGTCCTTACGGCTACAATCCACGTGGCAGGGCGATCAACAAGCCGGAGGACGGTGTCGTCCCCGACCGCGTTGCTTTTGCGCTCGACAACCCTCCGGTGGAATCATGTGAGCTTCTCGACGACGAGTACCCGTTCACCATCACCGGCGTAAAGACGCTGCGGCACCTCAGCAGCGACAATCGCGGCGGCCCTCACGTGGTTACCGGATACGCCGAGGACAAAAAGGAGACGTTGTACGTGGCCAAAATCTATGACGGCGTGGATTACCCGTGGGAGTTAGGTTATGAAGGCGGGGACTGCATGTTGGACGCCGACTACGACTACGCGCTTGAGGCGGCTGCGTACGGGACGATGCAAGCTGTGGAAGGCGTTGGGAAGAAGCTCGTGCCCGAGTACTGCGGTGGATGGACGTTCCCGCTCGACACCGGTGATGAAAACCGTCCATAACGATGGGTGCGCATGATTTTGCTTGATTTCGTGGAGGGCGAGACCATGTTGGCTATCATGCGTCGAGCGCGCGATGGCCATACCCTTGACTATTCGCTGCTGCCCCCGGAAGACTTTCGGCTTCGCGTGCTCAAGAATCTGTTCGAGGCGCAGATTTCCATCTGGTGGGACGCCGAGGTTAAGCATGAAGATTTGGAACCACGAAATGTCATCGTGAAAGCAGATGGCAGTGCTGTGATTGTGGATTTTAACCAGGCAGTGCTCTACAAGTTTTACGACAACGAGCTGAACAGCCCTGAAGATATGAAGTACTTGCAACACCCAAAATATTGGGAGAATGAGCCCGCACTCCCTCTTTCGCCCATCGAGTGGAACTGGCCGGTAGCGCCTGTGGGAAGATTTCTGACGGACTCTTGGGAACACGACAACGCTTTGGCGGATTGGATTCCCGAACAATGGCTTCAAGATGCTGACCTTGCTGCGGAATGGTTATTGGAGACGTGGGAAAACACTTTGTCCAAAAAGTACAGACCTTTGTCCGACGATTTCCTCAACCATTCCGGCCACAGGGAGAGAAAACCGAAGGTGCAAGCGATGCTGGAGCGGCTAGGACGAAAGCCGGCAGACAAGATGTAATGTCGGACCTTCAAACGCGTTAGTGAATCACCGGCCCGGAATCATCGTCACAGAGCTATCGAAGCGGGGACGTTTGAGGATGAATCACGCGTGGTCGCGAGTCGGGTGTAATAATACTGAGGATGTCGCAGAGCAGGCTTTGGTGTATTAATTAACGTAAATTGGAATCTCTTCGCCATGCGCCTGTCCTCGCAATGCCGAATTTGTTTGACAATAGACGTGATCACCGAACCAAGAAAGTGCAAGTAAATGCACTCAGAGAAAACACATCCATCCCGTAGCACCATTTTACAAGGCAAGGGTTTTAGCTGCGAGTATCTCACATTCATTCAGATTTTGATCACTTAAAGAAATAAATGATTGAGAATACTCGAGCATTAATTGCCGAGCGAGCCGCCCCCAAAATAAAGAACATTGAATCGAGGTCGACGCTGCACGTTGCTCATTATCCAGGGGAGCCCTGTTTTTCGTTCACTCGTTGAGGATTCACCCGGTTGACATCAAGAAGACGAAAAAGAGTGAAGCCATCGATAGTTTAAAATAAAACCCCAAACAACAATACTAAAATGATATGTATATTAGACTTCTACCTAGGGATTCCAGTTAAAATGTTACAATCCAGCAATATTTGATCTGATAGTGATGTAGAGCCATTGCACCGAGTTATCTGTTACGGGTGCCGCCGTTTTTAGTCCCATCGAGACACTGCAACCCCGGGAAGGTAACCCTTGGTAGGTAACACACTGCTGCATTGTTCTTGACGTATAAGTCCCTCCCCCCCTTTACGGCTAGATTCAGGGGTGGATCGGGCCGACCGCAAAGTTCCAACAGTAGTGCCGAATCTGTTACATCGGTTCATTAGGCAACGACAATTCTGGAATCCCTGGCAGAATCACATCTTGCTGGGGATACTCAACCACAATCAAACGCTGCGTTTTTGCACGAGACCCATAGTTTGTGAGCGCTGTTGGCGCCGCCGTCCTGATTTGTGATCAAGACCCCCTCAACCGCGTACGCTGACTGTAATATTGCCGTATATCGAATAAATCCAATTTGCCCTTCAATCTGACAAGCTGACCAACGATCATTGCTCTTTGTTGGATGCGCAGCGATCTGACCCTCGCGGGTGTTACTCATCAACCCCCGATGCAACGTCAGCGCATACCCCTATGATTACTCTGCTCAGGGGCAGCTTGATACTACAAAATGTAAACCTTTAAAAAAGAGTACACCCCTGCTAACACCCTCGCAACACCTCACGCTTCACCTTTCTCCGTCACCACCAACCTCTCAACCATCACAATGAAGCCCATCCCCCTCCTCCTCGCGCTCACAGCGCAACGCACCACCGCAGCCTGCCTCTCCTCCGCCACCTCCACCACCATCAACACCCTCCTCACCACCGGCGGTCCCAACACCCTGATCTCCCTCTGCCCGGACACCATCGTCCCGCTAACCTCCCCCATCATCTTCACCGCGCCCGGCCAAGAAATCTCCACCGCCGGCTACCCAACCGATTCGACCCGCGCGACCCTCCTCATCCAACCCGGCACCGACACGACCTCCGCGATCCGGGGTAACTGGCAAGACTACGTGCGCGTGCGTAACCTGCAGATCGACGGGAACCGGCCGAAGGCGGGTGCGTTGGGGGGGGATGCGTTGTTGGAAATGGGAGGCGGGACGACGGGGCAGTGGGTGGAGGGGAATGTGATTAGGGATACGAGGAGTTGGAGTTGTTTTCATTTGATTGCTTCGGGGCAGGAGGGGAATTTGTGTCGGAATGCGACGGTGAAGGGGAATACGGTGGGGCCGTGTGGGGAGGAAGGGGTTGGGGTTGAGGGGGGGTTGTGGGCGGATGGGTTGAGTGTTGAGTGTACGGAGAGTGTGGTTGTTGATAATGAGGTGGGTTTTTTTTTTTTTGTTTCTCTTTTTTTTGTCTTGATTTTCTTTTTGTTTTTTTTTGTCTTCTTTCTTCTCCTGTCTTCTTTCTTCTCTTGTCTTCTTTCTTCTCTTGTTTGTTTTTCTTGTTTCTTTTTTCTTCTGTTTCATTTGTCTCCTTGTTTAGAAAGAAGAGGAAAGTCGGACACAGCTAACGAACTCATAGATCACCGGCGCAACCGACGGCGGCATCGTCATCTTCGGTTCCCCCGGCTCCTCCTTCCTACGCAACACCATCACCTCCTCCTCCACCCAACGCGGCTTTGGCGGCATCAACATGGTCGACCCCAACTACAACGGCAACTACTCCGGCGTGGTCGTCTCCGACAACACCATCATCGGCGTCGACTCTGGCTTCATCGAGCTCGGCATCGCCATGGGCAGCCAGGTGTGGTCCAACCCACACCCCTTAAACAACTTTGGTCCGACCACTGTCTCGAACAACGTGTTCAAGGGGAATATCGGCTTCTCCATTGTGATTAACGGCTGGGAGGGGGGTTTGACCGTACGTTTTCCATTCCTATCTTTTTCACTCCAAAACCCACAGTTAATTAATTAATTATTCACCAAAACTAACAAAACACCAGGTCCAAAACAACGACATCTCCGCCGTTTCCCCCCCGTCGGACTTCGCCGACCCCTCAACCTGCGGCAGCATCCAAAAATCCGCCTTCCTCGCCTCCCACCCTCTACTAATCTACCCCCCCGGCGCCGGTTCACCCCTCACCATCCAACCAGAATTCACCACCCTCTCCGCCAACGCCTCCAACTTCCTCTGTCTCACCCACCCTTTACCCACCTCCCAATCTTTTACCGCAGGTTCTTTGTCTGTCTCTGCCGCGACATCGACGGTGGTTGATCTGAAGGGTTTGCATGTTCAGTTACAGGGAGATGGGAATTTGGTCGGGTTGGATACGACTGGTACTAATCAGGGGGGGTCGGAGGTGAAATGGGCGAGTGGGAGGTACTCGGATGGGTGTGGGACGGATGGGAGTGGGTGTGTCTTGGCGTTTGATGAGGCGGGGGAGTTGAAGTTGACGGATGGGACGGGGAAGACGGTGTGGGGGTCGGGGACGAAGGGGAAGGAGGTGGTGTTTTTGGGGGAGGAGCCGTGGGTGGTTGTGAAGGAGGCGGATGGACAACAGTTGTGGACTGTCGGGGAGTTGGCTTAGGGGGGGGTGATTGGGGAGAGACAGGAGGAACGAGGGTGGTGATGGCTCTTTCTGGAAATATATGTGTTGGGGTGTGATTGCTCCTTCTCCAGAGATGCGTGTTGAGCAGCACTGAATGGAAAGTACTACCAAAAGCCCGACAGTAATTATAAAAGGCACACTTACCCGCCGGCCAAGGCGACATCTCTTCCACCTTTCCCATCAAACGCGACCAGACTACCAAACAAGTCGACATTTTCCCGCCTTAAATCCGACCATTTGATCCCTTTTTGTTCTTCGTTCCATCTCCTTCGCCTATCCGCCCGCTTCCAACACTCGGCAACTCGGCTGTTCGAGTCCAAGGTCAAGGGAACAATCATCCAAGACGCGAAGCTGACCAAGGGCGAAAAAGGCGCCACCAAGATTCGCAAGGCCAAATCCAGACTAGAGAAAAAAAAACATTTCGAGCGGCAGTCCTTCAGTATCATATCCCGGGCGGCGAAGTATGCTAATCCCGCAGTGTAATTCGAGGATTCATCCACTCTTATAAGCGTGATTTGGGCCTTGTTCACTGCTTTTCGTAATAAGGATTGATCATTTGTCTTATGGAACTGTAAAGTCTACACAATAATACCAAAAAATATTCGGTCAGTCGCGTCATACGCACAAACATCCCCCGACGCACGAGCAGTCCCAGGATCGTCACTCTTGCAATCGATTTGTCAGTTTGTGTCGTTATGGTGGTCATCCATCGACACCCACCCTCAAATCCCCGCCGCGGGTGCCTCCATTGACCCGTCGCGGTTATCATCCGGGTTAATCAAGCGGCGACTAACATACGACGTGCATCACACTTGATCTTCTGCCTAGCGGGCGCTGTGCAGCAGGTGAGGCGGACGGAGCCGGGTGGATAGGGCGAGAGTACCAGGACGAGCCAGACTACAGGTCGTTGACGGAAGCCGGGGAAGCGGGAGGAGGAAGCAATTGGATCCAACGCCTGATACGGGACAATAAAGCTGGCCTTTCGAAGACTAAGAGACGGCAGGAGGATCGGGCGGGATCCGCTCCAGCCACGAGGTAATATGATGCCCGGAGAACTAGGCGAGGGTCTGAACCTAGGTGTCCCGCCGCCTTGTTTCGGAGACACCTGCCTGCTTGCCCTTCTGGGTTGGTATTACCCTGTGGGGTGCGTTGGCGTTGATGAACTCGCCCTGGATGCACTGTGCTGCTTCCAGGCAAAGGATCAGGGGAGCGGCACTTTCGCCCGCATGGGAACACATCCCACGACTGTATTTCCCAGTTCATCGACCCGCTATCGTTGCGTAGCTCGCCGTCTCGTAGTCCGCCCCCTCTCAAGGCCACCGATACCGCCCTAGACGGCGGCCTAGACGACGTGGCCAGCGGGGGAGAGCAGCGTCCTTGACGCCCTTGCAGCGTGGCGTCCCTATACACCGCGGACCACGCAGAGCGCTGGGCGGCTACGTGCCAGCTCTTCTGCCACAACATCGTCTGCCACGACATCGCATATACAGCCCACGACGAGGGCGCCCAGCTTCAGGGTACAAACCTTCAGCGAGCGGCTGGGCCGCGGGATCATAGCCCTCGATACCGGGTTGGGAAAAACAGTCATCACGCGACCATGGTCTGGTAGGCACTCGCCCATACGCTATCGACGCTATCGAGCGTGAGGCGTACCGCGGCTCGTAGGGCAGAGACTTGGCTCGGTGGGTTGGTGGGATGGTTGGAGGATTGCGTATTGCGGGGGGGGGGGGGTTGATGTATATATACTGGAGGAAGGGTAAAGGTGAGGTGGTGCTGTCTTATGGCGTCTGAACCTTCTCGTGTTAGGACGTATTGAGCTGATGTTATTGACGACACTTTTTCTGGGGTAATTGGAAGGTTTCATGGCTTAGGTCTGCTTTGTTTGCCTGGACTTTACCGGTGACATCTTGATGGAATTGATAGCCTTCTGAAGTGATTGGATTTAGGACTAACCTAGGGTGAAAATGAGATTTTGATACTTCTTAGGAACTTCATTCGACGCTTGTTTACCGGGGGCCTACCTGATAACACCCCTTCCGAAGATGCCTTGGAGACCCTTATCGGTGAAGGGTCAGTTGTGGTAAGGTTGCTGAACCGTTAGGTGGGCCAGAGTCGGGAAGGTCGTGCACAACCCGAGCAAATGAAAGATCTTGACCACAACGGGGGGTGCCAGATCCCATCTGCTGTACCAGCTGCGTGAGGATAGGCAGGGGACGCCGCCCACACGGCACGACGTTACTGCAGCACGTCGTTGAGGGCGGCTTTAGTCCGCATGAACATGTCATTGACAGAGGCGGTGAATTGCGTTGGGGTCAGGAAATCCACCACCTCAAAGGTGACCTTCGAAGTTCGGCCGATTGCTCAACGGCAAACCAGCAAAAGTACCGTGATACCGTACCGAAAACGGTGAAAGGTAGAAGCGTGTACCAGGGCCACCAGTTCAAAGAGGAACTCACGGGGCTCGTGCAGATCTGACTGAGAGCCGCTAGCAGCAGTGGGATGGAGGCTGTGGACCAGCGTCCTGTGCTTCGTCCACCAGAATCCTGACTTGTAGGAATTGCAAATGGAGGGATCGTGCTACTCAGCGCTCCATACGCGGTCAAGAGAGAAGACTGCATTTGAGATAACGCCAAGGAGACTCGACGCTTCAAGACAGTGCAGGAAGTGGTCCTGGAAGAATGCCGTGATCAAATATTTTATTCGGAGACTCTTCTTTGATCTTACGATATGCCGCCCGAAAGCGTTTGCCAGCCGGTAGCGTCGGGAGCCTTGTAAGTCGGCCGGGTCCGTTACCGGCAGAAACCCAGCCCACTCGCTTGGCCTGCTCCCTTGGCCTGGCTCGCTGTAGCCAAAAAAAGCGGCAGACCAAGTACCTGGATAACTTACTTTGCTACAAAAGTGAAAAAAGACCAAAAAGAATAGACCCAAAAAAGTGTTGATCAAATGTTAATAGTTTAGATTTAAGCTATCTATTTAAGTGTTCCGCTTTTTTGGGCCATAGCAAGCCTGGCCTAGCCCTAGGATGTTAGGGATACTGTTATATGGTAAGGTCAGATTCATAGTAAATTGGTAAGCTGGTCTTGAAACGTCAATTCCTCTTCCAGCCTTCCGGTAAAAGCCCAGTTGATCAACCATTGATCAATCATCACTCAACCATCAATCACCTATAATGAACCGCCGGTCATCCACGGGCAGTCTACATTGACCCTCCAATCAACTGCCTCTCCTACACAACTCTCTGCCCCTTCCCTGACAACGGCTGACCGCGGTTACCGCCAAGGATTCCGGCCAATATATGGCGAATCCAGCCACGGTGCTGCTTTCGCCTGAATATGACTCTCTAGCTTCTCCATTCTAGTAACGCGGCGCGTTAGTAGCGAGCAGCCCGGAGTTGTAGTGGCATGATGCACATGCGGCTGTGACCCCAGAGACGATATTACACCCCAGCGACGGCCGCCCAGACGGACATAGAGGCAGGCGATTGTACCCGAGACGGTTGCGAGTGTGTGTTGACAAGGCTGTTCCTCCTCACATTCAGCCACAGGACTGCCGCGTTCTACTTCCCATCCTGTGCACCAAAGCGCAGATTCTGGTCCAAGTCCTATCGTCGGCGGGTCCTCGCTCGCGTGTGTTGGTATTGTGGTGTCTTGTCCACTCTTTTAATGCAAGTTAGCCAGCACCATACCTATCTCCGTACGGCAAATGCACGGGTCACAGTCCTCCGCGGCCCGCCGGGTATAGGGATCCAGAAGGGCAACAGAATGGACCATTGCTTCGCCTCTGTTGGCATATGCTAGGAGAGGCTCGACGCTTACCACGCGGGCGGGGAGCCATTCTTTTGCCCTGACGCTCAAGAGCACACCAGTCTCACAACCGGTGCTAAGATCGACTGCCCTCGTTGCCAAGGCATTGCCCACACGGTGTTGTGGAACCTCAACTACCTTACGCAGCTGCTCCGCCCGGGCGGTAAGGTGGATGTTATTAATTGGCGGGTCTTGAAGATTTAGGGAAATGTGATATGACGAGATTGGGTGCTGTTTTTGGGCTTAAACAGGTGTCACCGGATGCAACGATTCTCACTTGCTAACAGCAAGGGATATTAATGTTTTGAGTAATATGCGGGGGGCATGGAAACCCGGTTTTTCTTCCGCCAGCGCGAGATTTGCTTCACCTAGGGGCTTCTCACAATCCCAATGTTGAAGGGTGTTGTCTATATGTTGCTGTTAGTGTTTTGATGAAATTACAGGATCGATCTTCGAGTATATGCTCGGTGATCCACAGGTTTACCTCTAGTATCAGACAACCTCCATCTGCTGATAATTAGGATGTTAATTCAGTCCATCCTTGAATCTTTAACAGCGAATCAAAAATTATTGAGAGGATCAAGCAGATTAATAGCAACGAAGTTGGAAAAGCAATTGACATATTATAATGAACACATTTTTATTAGTTCTTGTGATAACTAGTTATGTAGGATGAATATTTGTGGGAGTTACATGGCAGTTTTCATGGAATTTCTTTGCAATAATTATGGGCAGTGCTGATGCTTTAGACCTGATTTTAATATCATACAACAAATACTGTTTTTATTCTTACACCAAGGGCTTTCTTGGTCGTCCCGAGCTTACTCTCTGCTAGAGATATTGCAATGACTACCTGTCTCACACATATCCACAATAACCCCCTAATCAACCCTCAACCGTGCTGCCCTCAAAACCTCATAATCCCCCATCATCCCCCTAACCTCCCCCTCCATCCGTCTCCCCACCTCCTCCCCAAACTCCACCCTCCACTTCTCCGCCTCCGCCGCAATATCCAGTTCCTCCCCGGCCACCTTACTCAAATCCACCTTCTCACTCCCCATAATCGACCCCACCATCGCCCGATGCATCGGATTCAGTTTCTCCATCTCCTCCGCACTCGCCTTCTGCCAGTTGAAACGTAGTCGCTCGGGGTCGAGACCTGTTAGGGACGCGTATTTCTGGACTAGGGCGGGGGAGGTCATGATGTCGTCTGCGTCGAGGACTATGGGCCATCGGTTTTCCTCGCCTTCCGGGGGTGGGGAAGAGGCGAAGTGGGCGCGGTAGAACTCGTAGAGGGAACGGGTCCATTTCATGGTTGTTTCTGGCAGCAGTGGCAACTGCGGCACCTGGTCGCTGTCGACGCTGGCCTGGTTGGCGCGGCTGCGGTAGAGGGAGGGGATGACGAGGGCGGGGTGGCGGATCAGGAAGGTGGGATACCAGGTTTTGAGGAATTCATCTGGTAGGGAAGTCAAGTTGAGTGGGGAGCGGGTTGGGGAATCGACGCCGTGGGCTGGGAGAGGGGTGGGTTGGTCCGAGGAAAGCCCGGCGTCGGGGCCAAAAGCGTGTTGAGACTCAAAAAGCGGGTGGGAGAGCATGACGGCGTGTTCTTTGACGAAGATGGTTTGGTTGTCGTGTTCCGAGGCGGCGATGTGGTCTTGGAATTTGGTGAAGGCTTCGAGTTGGGCGGTGTCGACGGCGGCGCGTTCATCCGGGGTCCAGTCGCGCATGGGCTTGGTGTGGAAGGGGAAACGGAGGGCGGTGGATTGCAGGAAGAAGTAGCCGCCTTGGAAGACAGGGCGGATGGCTTGGGCTTCGAGGTTGAGGATTTTGACGAGCATGTTGGAGGCGGTGCGCGGGGAGGTGAGGAGCCAGTAGCGGCGTGGGGGGGTGGTGTTGACGGTCATCGTGGTGGTTGTGTGTTTACAGAGTTACAGGTTGTTATGAGGGTGGGTTGTTAAGAATGGTTGGTCGAGAAACTCGAGTGAAGAGTGGCGACGGTTGGGGCATTTATAAGGTGTCCACTGTCTACGTTAAGGTTCCGCTGTTATCCGTCGATGGTTGTTTGGCCCGTTACCCCCGAGATCTCCGCCCGACGTTGATCTTTCTGTCACCCCGCAACGAGGGGCAGACCGAGTATTCCGGTATTAGATACGACGTGTGATCGGTGTCGGGGCCTGCCGTGCTCCGTGCTAGGGAGCTTAATTACGCTAGTCGTCTGCGCGTACCGCGTATTGCCACCAGAATAGCATGATTCTGGTTCGGCAGAGTGGAACGAGCCGTGGTCCAACGACCAAACAGGCTTCCGGCAGGGCCTTGGCAATCCTTATGTCAGATTTTGGCAAGTGCGATATCCTCATGGAGTGAAGATATTCGCCGCTTATACATGTCCCTTGCAGGAGGTACTGGACACATTAACCTCGCCGAGTGAGCAAGACTATTTCCTCAACCATGACTGGCGTCGGGCTCGGGCTCTGGTAGCCCCCGAGTGGAACGTCGGGGCCCCGAACTAACCATCTGCCGGCTTGGCCGCTCGGGCCATCTACTCGGGTCCATCGGCGGTGATGAAGGCGCGGTCACGGATTCTCACGGCGCAGCTGGGAACACAACATCGGTTATTCGGTTACAATGTTTAGCAGCACTCGGCGATACAGGCAGTCCATCGCGATCCTGGCCATTAAGACGCGTCGCCTACATTAACAGATACATGAAAGGGAACGACGGACGCGAGGATGCTCACCGGGAGGCGGCCGATAGCCGGGTGGCCGTGGGAGTCGGCGGGAGTCGGGGCCACCCCGGGCGTCTTTGGCAAAACGAGGGGACTCTTTTGGCTCAAGACTTGGAGTGTGCAATATGAAGCTCTGGTTTTGTGAAGTTTCTTAGTTGGAGTTGAGAAGGAAAGGAATCTGACGCCTGGAGCAGATAGACATCGATCTCGTGACACAGATCGATGTTAATGAGTTGCAAGGAGAAAAGGGAAGTTTTGGGCGAAACCATTGTTTTTTCGATTCATCAGTCGTCCGTCGTGTCTAGCACGGAATGTTCAGTGGAACGTGTGAACCACACATCGTCAGTGACAAAAGAGCGATTCCGATTCCATCGCGCCTCACTCATGACACGACACAAGAACCTTGGGGGCGAGTTGGTGTTGAGTTGACGTCGACGTCGGCAGTTGGCCCAACATCCCGGCCGAGGATTGGCCGGGAGCGACTCAGTGGGTCCACAGGTGGAGCACATCCGGGAACCTATCACGTGCCTCATGGAGCCTTTGCACCCACTCTGTCAGAGAAACCTGCCGCCTAGCCAATCAGCGAACCACAAATTCTCCCACGCCAAACCAACACACACCACACGTCGCGACCCGGCAGCCCGGCCGCCATCGCAAGAGGCCGTGGAAACGACGGCGCGGGAGTGTGCTCCGCCTCGTTTGCTTGCTTCGAGAAGGGTCTGCGCGGAGGGATTAGGTGCGGGTGATTGACAGATCGCTGGGTCGCGCGGGAGGGTGTGGCCGACCGATCATCGATGTCAGGGCGTGGGGCTTAGTTTGTGAGGCGCGTTGACAGACGATGCGAGGTCAATGGATGCAGGGTGTGTGAAATATGAGATTTCCCCGGGCGTTTTAATCAGTGACGATGAAAGTTTCAACAGCGCCGCAGAACCGTTGGGTCGGGACTTGGTCGGTGTAAACGGGGTGAGCTGACTGATGCAGTCTCTCTCCGAGTAGTTAGTCAAGGCAGCGTGAGCTTAAGTGAAACCAGGGTTAGGGTTCCGCGCCGCTGGCCGCGCCGTGGGCCAACAACCTCTCTGAAGCGGTCGCCCAAGACGGACAACGACCGCCTAAGGTTTCGAAACAAATACTAACAGCAGCTTGCCCACAATGTTTCGGCCATGGCTGCCGCCCGGCCCGCCCGGCCGCCGAGTCATCACGGTGCTGCCGAGCAAACACTCACTCACTTCCTCGCATCGGCGGACTGCTCACTGCGGACCCCAACTGCGCCCCCCTTAATACCTTTGGGGGGTATCCAGCGCGCCCCTCCGCTCTCTTTCCTTTCCTCCCTATCCCGTAATGCTGGATTTCTGCTCGACCAGCTGGGAATTTCATCTACCGAACACAACAACAAACCATCACCCGCCATCTCTCGGATCTCCTCACAGCAGGGAGACCCGCGAGCCCGCGGATGAAGCAACAGTAACAGCACAACAATGGGACCAACCACCTACCCCCCCAACCTAATCGAATACATCTGGCCCTGCAACCACCACGCCCATGTCTCCGTCCAACCCGCCCCCTCCCCCAGCATCCTCGTCGACCGCGGGGAATTCTCTCTTCCCGCGGCTCGCCCACCCGAGGACCTAACCGAAGAAGAACGCACCGGCATCCCCGGCCGCCGCAAATGCTGTCGGTGCTGGGCCACCAGCAGCATCTTCAAGCCTCTCACCGCCTGCGAAGAATGCGAACACCCGTTCACAGGATGTCCGACGTGCGTGGTGGTGGATTCCTCCGGGACGAGGGAGATCGCCACGCTCCAACGGCGTCCCGTGGGGGAATTTGATCAAACCCCCGAGCACTGGAGATGTGGGACGTGTGAGCATATCAACACGTTTGATGCCGAGGCGGCGGGGCCAATCAATGGGTTTTTGGCGCCGATGGTGGCGGATTATATGGAGGATATGCAGTGCCGGAAGTGTGGGGGGCATTTTACAGAGGAGAGTTGGGTGATGAATCCATTTTGGGTGTATTTGGGGGCGTGGAATGGGAAGGTCGTGGCGGAGGGTGGGCCGTGGCATTGGAGTATGGTGTGGCATCGCGATTGTGCGGGGGAAGGGCATAGTAGGGAGGAGTGTTATGCGGAGAGGAGGAATGGGAGACGCAGGAGGGAGAATCCGTGTATTAACAAGAACTTTGCCGTTGAAGCGGCTGAGGCCGAGAAGGCCGCGGCGGAGTCAACATCAGCATCGGCAGCTGATTCAACAACAACAGAAAAATCAGCCCCGGCCATTCCGCCTATCATGGTAGTCGACACAGACCGACACTCTCTCCCTCCGCCCTCAGCGGGTTTGACCCCTTTCCCCGAGGACCATCACCCCGGATTCGGCGATCACGACCGAGTTACCATGCCTGGGGTACCCTCCGCAGCGGCAGCTCTGCAACCAGACAACCAAGACAACCAGACCGTCGGGACAGGCGGGTTCACCATTGGCGACTACGAAGGCACCGGGTTTGGCTCAGATATCGACGAGATGCTGCCTGTGGACCGTGGTTTGGCCGTGCCTGGGGACGACGAGACGGATGGGCCGGACTTGGGGTCGTATTATGATGTGCCGAGTCGGCCGCGGTCTCCTGCTGCCCCTGTAGCGGTGGCTGGTGGAGGGAATTATTATGCGCCGCTGAGGCAGGATTTTGCGCCGGGGACGGTGCCGCCTTCTGAAGATGGTATGTTCTTTTCCCTTTCTCAGACTGGAAAATGTATTTGGTCTGGACTAACATAAGATAGGTGCATATGTTGAGCCGGAGGCTGTTCCAGACGTTCCAGAGCCTCTGGCAGCGGCAGACGGCAGCCGGGAGTTGGAGCTTAACAATGAGCCTGGCTTACCAGCTGAGGAACCGCTGCTCGAAAAGGACGAGCCCCAAGCTCCTTTCGATGAGGAGCTTCAACCAGCCTTGGACGAAGCCCTTCCAGAGGAATCCACCCGGGACGTGGACCTAGAGCAGGACCAACTCCCAGAAGAACCCCAAGACCCCTCCAACTACCTCAACACCTCCCCCCCAGCAGACCCCTCATTAAACCCCCCAGCAACACCCAAATCCCCCTACCTCCACCCCAACTCCCCACACCCCAACTACGCCGACCTCAACGAATCAGACCTCGACGAAGGCTCCGTCTTCTCGACCTACCAAGACACCGAACTCAACTGGGTCGAAGATGGCCACACGGCTGTGCCACGCAACATGTTTGCTATCCTTGATACCGAGGCGGCACACCCGCATGGTCCGCCGGGGATGAGACATGATTTGGATTGGGATGAGGAAGATGAGGATCTTTCCAACCAGCAGGTAGCGGATGGTGAGAGGGGCGTGGGAGAGGGGGAGTTTGCTGGAGAGGGGGAGAGGGGGTTGGTAGATGGGGAGGTTGTTGAAGGGGAAGAGATGGAGGAAATGGAACTCGCTGATGGAGAGCGGGAGTTGGAGGACGTCGACGGGGAAGAAATACCTGAAGACGAACTCCTCGATGGTGAGGCCCCTGAGGAAGAACTCGACGGTGAAGCCGAAGAGGAACTCCTCGAAGAAGACCAAGAAGAAGGTGACCGCGACCTCGACCTCGAAGGCGAGGAAATCCCCGAAGGCGAGGAACCCGAAGAGGAGATGCTCCTCGAGGACGGAGCCGGCGAGGAAGAACTTCCCGAAGGAGAGTTCCCCGAGGAAGGCGAAGGTGAATTCGACCCCGAAGCCGAACTCCTCGAGGACGGGGAGCGCGGACTCGACGGGGAGTTTGCTGACGGAGAGTTCCCCGAAGGCGAAGGCGAGCTACCCGAAGGTGAGTTCGCAGACGGGGAGATCCCCCCCGAGGAAGGGTATGAAGGGGAGTTTCTCCCCGAGGACGAGGCTCTGCCTGAGGGGGAGTTTGCCGAGGGCGAGTTCCCTGAAGGTGAAGGTGAGTTTCCCCCGGAGGAAGGGTTTGAGGGGGAGTTTTTGCCTGAGGATGAGTTTGCGGAGGGTGAAGGTGAGTTTCCCGCCGAAGGGGAGGAGTTTCTGGAGGATGGAGAGAGGGGGTTGGAGGGGGAGGAGTTTGGTGAGGGGGAGTTTCCGGAAGGGGAAGGGGAATTTGCTGAGGGCGAGTTTCCTGAGGGTGAAGGGGAATTTGCGGACGGGGAGTTCCCTCCTGAGGGCGAATTCGCCGATGGAGAATTTCCTCCCGAGGGCGAGTTTGCCGATGGAGAATTCCCCCCCGAGGGCGAATTTGGTGAAGGCGAGTTTGCCGACGGTGAGTTCCCCCCTGACGAGTTCCCTGCAGATGAGTTTGGTGATGCCGGCGAGTTCCCCGCCGACGGTGGCGAGTTCTTTGACGACGGCGCGCGCGGATTCGATGAGGGGTTTAATGATGGGGGATTCAACGGTGGAGGATTCGACGATGGAGGATTCAATGACGGAGGATTCAACGATGGGGGGTTTAACGATGGTGGGTATAACGACGGAGCCTACAATGACGGCGGGTTCAACGACGGCGGGTACGGAGGCGAAACCTTCACCGACGGGTACAACGGAGACGACTATCCGGCGGAACAATATCCCGCAGAGGAATACCCCGTCGGCGACTACTCCGGCGACGCCTATGCCGGGGACGACTTTCAGGAGCCGCTTGCCGAAGAACCGTTCCCTGAGGAGCCCTTTCAAGAAGAACCTTTCCCAGAAGAACCCTACCAGGAAGAGCCATTCCCAGAAGAACCCCTTCCCGAAGAGGAGTTCCTCGACGGTGAACCGCTACCAGAAGAAGAATACCTCGACAACCAACCGCTCGACGAGGAACTGCCACCAGACGGGGAATTCGCCGACGGGGAGTTTGCCGACGGCGAGCTTGCTGAGGACCAACTTGAAGGCGAGTTCGCTGACGGTGACATAGGCGAGGAAGTCCCACTCGACGAGGAGCCCCTGCCCGAGGGTGAAGGCGAATTCGACGGCGAGAGAGAACTCGATCCGGAGGAGATGGTCGAGGGGGAAGGTCTCGAGGAGGAGATGCCGTTGGAGGATGCGCCGTTTGAGGAGGAACCGCCTCTGGAGGAGGAGCTGCCTATGGAGGAAGAGTTACCTCTCGATGAAGAACCGCCACTTGAAGAGTTCCCGCCAGAGGAGGAACTGCCGCTTGAGGACGCGCCTTTTGAAGAGGAGCCTCCGCTGGAGGAGCTGCCGATGGAAGAGGGCGAGAGGGGGTTTGGTGAGGAGCAGTTCGACGAGCCTCCGCTGGAAGACGCTCCGTTCGATGAGCCCCCTCTGGAAGAAGCGCCGTTCGAGGATCAACCGTTTGAGGAGCAGCCGTTTGACGAACCACCGTTGGAAGAAGCACCTTTCGAAGAAGCACCTTTCGACGATCAGTTCCAAGAGCAGCCCCTCGACGATGGGTTCCAGGAACAGCCATTTGACGAAGGGTTCCAAGACCAACCGTTTGACGATGGATTCCAAGAACAACCGTTCGATGACGGCTTCCAAGACCAGCAGTTCGACGATGGAGCCCGCGGATTCGACGATGGCGCCGGCTTTGACAATGGCCCTGCCTTTGACGACGGCGGAGCGTACAACGACGGCGGTTTCAACGACGGCGGTTTCAACGACGGCGGTTTCAACGACGGCGGTTTCAACGACGGTGGTTACAATGACGCGGGCTTCAATGACGGCGGTTTTAACGACGGCGGTTTCAACGATACGGGCTATAATGACACCGGTTACAATGATGGTGGATTCAACGACGGCGGGTACAACGACACTGGCTTCAACGACAACTACAACGACACCGGTTACAATGATACTGGGTTCAACGACACCGGGTACAACGACACCCAGTACAACGATGATTTCAATGACACCCAGCCGTACAATGAGCCATACAGCGAGCCTTACACTGAGCCCTACAACGATGACCTCAACAACACCCAGTACAACGACGACTACAATGACACTCAGTACAACGACGATTTCAACAATACCCCGTACAACGATGACCTGAACAACAACCAGTACAACGACACCCAGTACAACGACGACTTCAACACCGACTACAACGACACCCAATACAACGACGACTTGAACGATACGCAGTATAACGATGATCTCGATAACCCCCCGTACAACGATGACCTCAACAATGAGTTCGCCGACACTCAGTACAACGACGATCTCAACAATGACTTTGCCGACACCCAATACGCCGACGACCTCCAGAGCCCCGAACCATACAACGACGCCCTCAACGACGACCTCCCAGAAAACGACACCTACAACACCACCTACGACGACGCCAACCTCGACGCTCGGTCTTTCGACGAACAACCCCTCGATGACTCCGCTCCCTTTGAGGAACAGCCCTTCGAGGAAGACCCCCTCCCCTATGACGAGGAACCTCCCCTTGAGGAACCTCCCTTCGAGGAACCCTTTGAAGAGCCACCCCTCGAAGACCCCCCTCTGCCCTCTGACGAGCCAGCGGATGCATACACACCCCCGGCTGATCTTCCTCCGCTTGATGACGACTTCGAGGACCCGCAGATGGACGAGGAAAGATTGCCTCCGTTGGAGGTGCCGCTGCACACGCCTGTGGAGCCGGTTGAGCAGACTTTCCCAGAGGAGGAGGAGGTGCTGCCTGTTGAGAATGAGGCATTGCCATTGGATGAAGAGCTGCCGGTTGATGGGGAAACATCGCCCGTGGACGAGGAGCAACTACCGGTGGATGGGGAGTTTGATGGGGAGCCGTTGGCTGAGGAGGTCCCGTTGGAGGACAGGGACTTGGAGGAGCCGGAGTTGGAAGGAGATGAGAATGTTGATGAGGGGGATGATTACCCTGTTGATGAGGTGCCGCTGGAGGGGTTTGATATTCAGGAGCCTTTGGGGGAGCAGCCGGAGGAACAGCTGGATGAACTCCCTGGCGACGAACCACTCGATGAACCTCTGCCGGAGGATGCTCCGCTGGATGATGGCGAGTTACAGGAACTTCCTGGTGAGGAGCCTGTTGAGGAACTGCCGGTGGATGAGGCACCACTCGACGGTGAACCCCTCGACGAGCCGCCGCTTGAAGAGGAGCCCTTCGAGGAACGGGATTTCGAGGAGCCTCCGCTTGAGGGAGCACCCTTGGACGAACCGTTTGATGAGCCGCCACTCGAAGAGGCGCCTCTCGACGAGCCCTTTGATGAGCCTCCTCTGGAAGAGGCACCATTCGAGGAAGCGCCGTTCGAGGAAGCTCCGGTGGAGGAGGCTCCCTTTGAAGAGGCCCCATTCGAGGAGCCACCTCTGGAAGATGCACCGTTCGAAGAGGCTCCATTCGAAGAGGCTCCGTTCGAAGAAGCCCCCCTTGACCCACCCATGGACCAGTTTGACGAACAACCCTTCGACGGCCCACTGCCAGCCGATCAGTTCGACAACAAGCAATTTGACGACCGCGGGATGGATCCGTTGCCCGAAGACAACTTTGCACCGCAAGACGACTTCAACCAGGACAACAACTGGTCCAATAACGACAACCTGTACGACGGCGCGGGCTATGCCGACGACTACCAGGAGCCCATGGCCAACGATGCGCCGATGGAGAACTTTGACAACTACCAGGAGCCGTTCCAAGACGACTTCCAAGACAACTTCCAGGACAATTATCAAGAGCCGTACCAGGAGCCGTACCAGGAGCCGTACCAGGATAATTATCAAGACAACTTTCAGGACAATTACCAGGAGCCGGCGCAAAACTACAACGACAACTTCCAGGACGACTTCCAACCGGGCACGTATACCGACT